GGTGGATGGTGACTCAGAATCTGTGCCCAGTGCTGATGGCTCTGCCAGTCTCACATAAACACATTTCACTGGCTCTACCTCTTACTTTGCAATGAGCTCATATTCTTCTATTATGGTCTTCAGTCTTTTACAGTCCAATTCTGCTGTTGCCTAGTTGTGCTGAAGCAGAGGGTGCATTTATGTTCACTTAATTACTTGTAATGCATAGTTTTGTGTGTGTGTGACAAAATGTTTCCCTTTAATTGAAAATACCATCATGTTTACTGTATGTAGGTATACTGTTTTGCACTTTCTAAATGTTTGGCTTTTAAAGAAGACAAAAGCCCAATAAGTTTAGTCCCTAAGTATAAACAGAATATTACGTAGTATTTTTATTTCATCACATCACTTCAAAATCTGGTTACATTTATATGTATTAAATTTTGTGTGTATTGAAACGGCTGCTTCTGAGATCTGTTGATATGTTTAGAAGAGTTGTATGTAAGTCAGGATTGAAGTAAAGTTAGACCCCAAAAGCTGGCGCAGTGCTGGGTAACCAAACCTCAACCCAATTTTAGTCACTTGAATTAAACAGTAGTTTAATAAGCTGCCCCCCAAAAAAACAGGATTATAAATAGCAAACGCGTAGGATAAAAATAGGAAATAAGTAAGATTGTTTCCCCTCAAATTATCCTAATGGCAGAACTGCTGACATCTGTTAACAAGCGCAGGACACAAGTCCTTGACCGAAAGAGGCGTGACGTGAACTTCCCAGAGGAGTTGAAGAAATTATAGGGGGTTCCCCGCTCATTTACCATGAGGACCATGAAGCATAAACAACATTTTTCCAAAACATGCTGGCCTTAATTAAACTTTTTAAATCCTCAGCAGGTCAGTACAGAGCTCATTAAATCAAACATTTAACATTTCGTTGGCTTTTAAACAATAAAAAACATTTTAAATATATTAAAGCCATTTTTGACACATGCATGTGGTATATACATATGACCTTGTTACCAAAGTGCCTAATGCTTTCACAATGTCAACTGCTCTTTCATTCAGATTGACAGTTAGCAGGTGTTACATGCATGTCTATATTTGTCACGCTGGTTTAAATGCTATCTCTGATCGGTAACATTGACACAATGTAGTTTTCCACACTAGAAAGTGAGGTGTGTTGAAAGGTCATGAAATCTTATCTTCCTGTGAAATTAAGTTCATATTGTTTATTATTCATATTATGCTCTTAAAGAATGCAAGATGATAGATTGGTCATCTGGAATCTAGGTTTGAGGCAGCTCTTAAATGTCTGTTTCTTATTGGTGATAATTGTTTAAATCAGTTACTTTGGTTGATCTGTCCACTTTTAGAATTGCTAAAAACATTTAGAAAAAAAAATACTATGGATATAAAAAAATATAATTACAATTTCCCCAAATAAAGTGAGTTTCAAAAATCTGAGACCACAATGAAGATCAATAAAAATGTTTTATTTAATAATTTTTTTTTTTGATTTAAACATTTCTAAAAAATGTTTCTGTACTATTCATAGGTAATTAGACGAATGTAAGTAAATCTGTGACACTGATCATATAAATTCTGTTGTTCGGAAGGGCAGATGTTCTTTTTTCCAATGAAGCACAAGATGCTCTTTGGATCATTCTCAAATCATGCTGGAGAACATGATCATCAGATCTTAATAATGTTTAATCAAGTTCATGCCAGTTCAGCTGGTGCTTTTATTAAAGGTCATTTCATTCATCAGAAGTGGCACAAACCTGCTGAGAAATTAAGATTTTTTTTTATTTTTTTTTTCACTCTGATTGTTATCCTGATTATATAATTTGTCCATACACAACTTATTTTTAAAATGTTTTTTGAAACAAGGCTCTCCAAAGCTGCATTGGTTTGGTCAGAAATACAGTATAAATAGTCATATTTAGAAATATTATTACCATTTAAAAGAACTGTTACTTTGAACATTTTGTCAGAATTCTTTGATAAACAGAAAGTTTGAGCATTTATTTGAAATAGAAAAAATAGAATAGAACACTTTTGATCAATTTAATTAACCCTTTGAATAGTAGTGTCCATTTTGTCACTGTTATTGCAAGCAGTCATTGTTATGGCTGGAATGGTTTAGAGATGAAACTAAGAAATGTACCAATGGCACTCAGATTTGTTTAGGCTTGTCTTCTTTTAGAACATTTCCTGCAGTTGGTACTTGAGGAGGTCAATGCCACAGGAAAACAGGAAGTGCTGAGACCACGACAAGCTCAACTAACAGGAAGTGTACGGCTGTGAGCGGGAACCTTATTCGTGATCTGTAGGTTTATATGATGTCTCTCTCTTCCCTTTCCCCGATCCCTTCAAACATTTAACATTTCGTTGGCTTTTAAACAATAAAAAACATTTTAAATATATTAAAGCCATTTTTGACACATGCATGTGGTATATACATATGACCTTGTTACCAAAGTGCCTAATGCTTTCACAATGTCAACTGCTCTTTCATTCAGATTGACAGTTAGCAGGTGTTACATGCATGTCTATATTTGTCACGCTGGTTTAAATGCTTTCTCTGATCGTGAACAGATGGGGTAACATTGACACAATGTAGTTTTCCACACTAGAAAGTGAGGTGTGTTGAAAGGTCATGAAATCTTATCTTCCTGTGAAATTAAGTTCATATTGTTTATTATTCATATTATGCTCTTAAAGAATGCAAGATGATAGATTGGTCATCTGGAATCTAGGTTTGAGGCAGCTCTTAAATGTCTGTTTCTTATTGGTGATAATTGTTTAAATCAGTTACTTTGGTTGATCTGTCCACTTTTAGAATTGCTAAAAACATTTAGAAAAAAAAATACTATGGATATAAAAAAATATAATTACAATTTCCCCAAATAAAGTGAGTTTCAAAAATCTGAGACCACAATGAAGATCAATAAAAATGTTTTATTTAATCATTTTTTTTTTTGATTTAAACATTTCTAAAAAATGTTTCTGTACTATTCATAGGTAATTAGACGAATGTAAGTAAATCTGTGACACTGATCATATAAATTCTGTTGTTCGGAAGGGCAGATGTTCTTTTTTCCAATGAAGCACAAGATGCTCTTTGGATCATTCTCAAATCATGCTGGAGAACATGATCATCAGATCTTAATAATGTTTAATCAAGTTCATGCCAGTTCAGCTGGTGCTTTTATTAAAGGTCATTTCATTCATCAGAAGTGGCACAAACCTGCTGAGAAATTAAGATTTTTTTTTATTTTTTTTTTCACTCTGATTGTTATCCTGATTATATAATTTGTCCATACACAACTTATTTTTAAAATGTTTTTTGAAACAAGGCTCTCCAAAGCTGCATTGGTTTGGTCAGAAATACAGTATAAATAGTCATATTTAGAAATATTATTACCATTTAAAAGAACTGTTACTTTGAACATTTTGTCAGAATTCTTTGATAAACAGAAAGTTTGAGCATTTATTTGAAATAGAAAAAATAGAATAGAACACTTTTGATCAATTTAATTAACCCTTTGAATAGTAGTGTCCATTTTGTCACTGTTATTGCAAGCAGTCATTGTTATGG